ATGATCTGTCCATTGTTGTAAGTGGGATGTTGAAGTCCCCTGCTATTATGGTATTATTATCAATGAGTTTCTTTATGTTTGTGATTGATTTATTTATATATTTGGGTGTTTCACGTTTGGAACACAAATGTTTACAATTGTTAGATCTTCTTGTTTATAGACCCCTTAATTATGACATAATGCCCTTCTTCATCTCTTGTTACAGTCTTTATTTTAAAATCTAGATTGTCTGAAGTAAGTATAGCTATTCTGGCTTTCTTTTGACGACCATTAGTATGATAGATGGTTCTCCATCCCCTTACTTTCAATCTGAAGGTGTCTTTAGGTCTCAATTGGGTCTTTTGTAAATGGCATATAGATGGATCTTGTTTTCTTATCCATTCTGTTACCCTATGTCTTTTGATTGGAGCATTTAGTCTACTGATGTTTAGAGTGAGTAATGAAAGATCTGAATTGATTGCCATTATGTTGCCTGTAGAGTTGGATTTTCTGGTGGTGTTCTCTGGTCCTTTCTAGTCTTTGTTGCTTTTGGTCTTTTTTTTTCTTTTTTCATCTTTTCTCTCCTTAGAGAGTCCCCCTTATAATTTCTTGCAGGGCTGATTTAGTGGTCATAAACTCCTTTAGTTTTTGTTTGGGAAACTTTTAATCTCTCCTGTTTTGAATGACAGCCTTGCTGGATAAAGAATTCTTGGCTGCATATATTTCTGATTCAACATATTGAATATACCCTGCCACCCCTTCCTGGCCTGCCAAGTTTCTGTGGATAGGTCTGTTGTGAACCTGATATGTCTTACCTTGTGGATTAAGGACTTTTTTTTCCTTGTTGCTTTCATGATTCTTTCCTACATTCTTTTCCTGAGTACCACTTACAGTTTGTCACCATTACTGTTGATGTCTGAATTTTTGGTATAGATCTTTATCTATTCACCAGGAAAAGATGTTTTTTTCGAGGTAAGAAAAGGTGTTAGGGGTTAAGAGGGTTCCACATGAAGTTGACTGAATCCAAAAGTGCTCTAGTTTAAAAAATGTACACAAATATCCTCTCTCCCCTCCCCCCATCCCCAGATTAATTCCACTAGTATTGTTGGGTTGGGATAGTTTGGCTATTTGCCATATCTATACCAATTTCCTGCTACTGTTTTGGGTGCTGTCACTGGCCTAATGCATTGTATACTCTTTCCTTATGCTGGATCCTCTTCTGGAACATCCCCTCCTAAAATCTAACTTTTGTTAAGACCCCCAATTCTCTATCAGTTAGGTATATCTCAACCTCAATAGTGGATAGAGTTTAAATATTTTCTCCTGGAAGGCTTTGGCCTTAGTACAAATCACAAGATGCAAAAGGGTACACATATCTTTATAATTTATTCTGCCCCAGTACCCACAAACATCTAATCCTAATCCAAATAGACACATGTGGAGAGGGATGTTGTCTAACTCCACTGACAAAAAACATCTGGGTTCCAACTCTACTCAGGTTCCCTCTTACTAGGGGGATTTCCTTCTTCATATTACCCTTTCTCATTCCATAGGGGCCCAATGTGTTGTTTAGCATATTCATTGGAATTAAGCTATGAGTATATAGTTGATAATATTAAGAGAAAGGTTTGTCTCCTAAAAGGACCAATATGAAGGACTTCCACCTCCCTTCTGTTAACATAGGGAAGGAGCCTGCCATGACCACCAAGATGGAGGCACTGGTAGAATTTAGAATGAGCTACTCATTCTACTTAAGCTACTCTTCTAGAATGAAGCTTCAGGGAGTTCAGAGGGGTTGAAACGGACACAACAAAGGTAAAAGAGGGCAAAAGGCAGTAGAAAGGAATCCACGATGCTCATCTTACATGGTCTTCTGACATCTAATGTCTTGTTTGTGATAAGTTAATAGAAAAGATGTTTCTTTCTGTTCATAGACTTCCATGAAGTGCTTATAGTGCATGCATAATGCATATGTACACATATATACAATATCATGGTTCTTAAATATACCTTAATCAATTGAAAAGTCCTTGAAGCACAGTAAAGTTTAAAGCAAACATAGAAGATAAAGGTTCCTTCACTGCTAATTTGGTTATGACAACCTTTCTTGAAAAGACTGGGAAGTCTTACAAACTTTTTGTGAAAGCATTTTTAAAATGGTCTTCAGGTATATCTAAAGTATATACTAGCCATATTTATTACACAACACTTATGATTGTGTAAATTTGCTACTCTTCCTTAATATAAAAATTATACTAATTAACCAAATTTAACCAGAGATTTTGGACCTGGTTACATTTTATTACTATGACCATTGTCCTAACAAAATCCCTAGTATAATCCCCAGGAGAAGCAAGTTACTTTAATGCACTAATCATAGAACCCTGTGCCTTTTTCCCCCGTCCCCACACTGTTTGAATAACCTTCAGTTTTAAAACTTACTGCTCACTTTGACCATGAAAACTCCTTCGCGGCATTTCCTTCTGTGTAGTTAGAAGTATTTCTCAAGGGCAAGTTATTTATTCATTCAGAAGTAGATAGTTGAGAGCTACTAAGTGCCAGACACTGTGTTAGATATGGAGTATAACTGTCAACAAGGCAGTTTACCTCTGCTCTTCTCTGTAATCAAAAGAAGCTAAAATTAACTGAGAACTTAATGTGTGTCAAGCCCTGTTCTAAGTACTTTATGTGTATTCTTTCTGATAATTCTCACAACCATCCTAAGAGGTAATTTTGATTTAATCCCTATTTTACAAATACGCAGTGTGGGGGTGGAGAGGATAAACAACTTGCTCAAAGAAATACAGTGAAGGGTAAGACCATGCTAAGCTACCTATGCTGTTACAGGTAAAATTCTGAAAAGTTCTGTTCTGAAAAATACCGAAAACTAATACAAATTAGTTTTTCCTGGAGGATGTGAAATCTCTTGTAGAATGGATGAAATTTGTAAATGTGAATATAAGCATGGGGCTGAGACTGTAAAAAGATATACCATTTACACATAATATGCAAAGTATTGAAATATATTCAAAACAAAATCATAATCTATTTTGACTACTGCTGTCATCAATTGGCTTTATTTTGTATATCTAAAATTACAAAGCAGCATTATTTAAGAGATATTCTATCATCCAGATCTGAAGAAGTTTGAGTGATACCATGCTGTATTTTCGGGGGTGCATGGTAGGAAATGCACAGCACCGGTAACATCCTTTGCTGCTATCTTTGGTCTTTCCCCAATCCTATGCTTTCTCTGTTGGCCTGACAGGTTGCTAAAGATAATCTCTTGAATGGGTAATCATGGGTAATGCACTTAGCTAAGTTTAAATTAATTAGAGCTATATTTAGATAATAAAATGGTTCTATTGAAAATAGGACTCATTTCTACAGAACAAAAATTTAATCTTTGTGTAATATTGCTTAGGGAATCTGGCACGCTCCTGATATGGAATTAGAATTAAGTTACTTAATACTTATTGAATTGTTTTAGCTTTTTAGTTTTCTCTCCCCACTTCTTTGTCCCATTTGTTTATCTCCTTGGTTGGCTTGTTTGGGATTTTTCCAATCCTTATATTTTTCACAATATTACTTCTAATTCCTTTAAGCTAAAATATAAATGCTAAATAGAAAAATATAATTCTGCAAAGGGACTTTAGCAGCTTTGTTTTCTGTTTATTTACTTGTTTAGGAAATTGTTCTTTAGTTTGCCAGAAAACAATCCTGTTTATAAATAGTAGAATCACTGTTGGAATTATGATTTTCTTTAAAACTGTAACATATAATCTTAGGTGAAAATTTTAATATGTACTGTCATAAATAATGTTAATATAATAAAATATGAAATTTACACATTTTAATTTTATTTCAGGTTGGAATATACCAATAAATATGCTGTTACTGCTCAAACAAACCACTTCCTTGTGTTGCCATCTTCAATCAAAATGTAGACTGCTATAGGTAACTCATCTCCTCTTTTTATTTCCAATAGTTGAACTTAGCTGCAACATGCTGAAAACTGAATGGCTCTAATTTAGAAGATTCATGGTGTATAAAAAATATTCAATGTATGAAATTAAGAATCACTTCCATGTAACCATGTAGGAAACCCCCTGGGTGCATTTTGGCTCTTTGTTTGTAACAAATCATTTTAATTTGAGAACACTTATGTAAATATGAATAAGTATAGTATAAAAGTCTTGTGTGTTATAATACAAATTTTAACTCTCTGAGTGTATTGGAAACTTCAAGTTTTCTAGTTTAATATTGAGATAATAGCATCATTTATTCAGATGTTAGAGCCTTATAAATTTTTTTAAGTAGGAAAGATGATACAAATTTATATGGATTTAGGTTGGCAGATAAAAGTTGTATCAGGCCTTGTCTCTCTCTCTCTCTCTCTTTTTAAATTTATTTTATTTTTTTATTAAAATTTTTTTAATGCTTATTTATTTTGAGAGAGAGAGACAGAGCATGAGCAGGGGAGGGGCCGAGAGAGAGAGGGAAACACAGAATCCAAAGCAGGCTGCAGGCTGTGAGCTGTCAGCACAGATCCTGACATGGGGCTTGAACTCATGAATCATGAGATCATGACCTGAGCTGAAGTTGGATGCTCAACAGACTGAGCCATCCTGGCACCCCAGTTTTTTTTTTTTTTTGTCGTTGTTGTTTGTTTTTTGTTTTTAAGAGAGTGTGCACATGCACCTGGGCACATGTGCATGTGTGTGTGCGAGAGCAAGTGAGTGAAGGAGGGGCAGGGGGAGAGGGAGAGAGAATCTTAAGTAGGCTCTACACCCAGTGTGGAGCCCATTGTGGGGCTCTATCTCACAACCATGAGATCATGACCTGAGCCAAAATCAAAAGTCAAACAGTTAACCCACTGAGCCACCCAAGCACCCCCCAGGCCTTTTAAAACAAGTATTTTAAAATAATTTTTTGAACTTGAAATTAAGTGTAAGAAAACAAGTTTTCCTTTGTATATTATGGCCTCCTTAGACATACTTAAAAAATCAAAAGTTCTGAAATAATTGTAAAATAGTCATCATTTTCATTAACTGAGGCTATGCTGCCATAACAAAATAATCCCCAAATCTCGGAAGCTTAAAACAACAAAGTTTGTTTCCTGGTCTTTTAACTCATCTTGTATTGGTCAGCTGTAACTCAGTTTGATGTTGTCTTCATTCTGGAACCCATGCTGAGAGAGCAGCCTCTACCTGGGACATTGCCAGTCTCATGGTAAAAGAAAATGAAGAATGTATTGGAATCATACAATGGCTCTTGAAGCTTCTGCTTGGAAGTGGCATATCTGGCTTCTCCCATTTTATTGGCCTAAGGAAATCATATGCAAAGCATGATGTCATGAAGAAGTGCCAAATATTTTGAACAATAATAAAATATAATTCACCATACTCGACCTTCTTGGTCACAAATATTCATTTCCTTCCCTTTTGCATGTAAAATATACTCATTCTGTATCCAAGGTAGACAACTCAATAGTCTCATCCAATTGTACTATCAGACTCAAAATTCAAGATATTATGATAGTTTCTCTATAAAGCATGGATGTGATTCCTTTTCAGGGACAATGAAATATATTTTTATTTAAGCCAGCATGATTGATGTTTCTCTTACATGCCGCAGAAAACATTACAATTTATAAAAATCTAGTACCATAGTTGTCTGAAATAAATAGAATACTGACAAAGCAGTTCTTCAAGTTGGACTACAACTGCATCAGGCTGATTCTTAAGATACTCTAAAATGGAAACTGCCTCTGAAATTCTTTTCAAGTATTATTTTAAATATGAAAAGACAACTTAAAAACTTTAACTACAGAAACAAATGGATATACTATTACCATTATGGCATCATAACTTGATGTTTTATTATTTAAGACTCATCATATTGGTTCTAATGATGCAAAGATCATTCAATAGGGAAACAATAATCTTTGGAGCAGATGGCTCTGGGGCTACTGGATATCCACATGCTAAAGAATAAAATTGTATTTCTCTTTCACCCCATATTCAAAAATTAACTCACAGTGGGTCAAAGACCTAAATGTAATGGTTAAAACCATAAAACTTTTAGAAGAAATCATATGTATCAATCATCAGGACCTTGGACTAAGAAATGATTGGTTAGATACATCACCAAAAGTACAAGCCACACACACACAAAAGATAATTAGATCATCAAATTGAAAAAAAAAAAAAACTGCTTAAAAGGACATACTCAAGAAAATGAAAAATTGAAAGAATGAGAAAAAATATTTATAAAATATTTATATGATAAAAGACTTGTATCCAGATTATAAAACGCGATTGCTAATCAGTAATAAAAAGACACATAACCCAATTTAAAAGTGAGCAAAGGCTCTGAATAAACATTTCTCCAAATAAGATATATAAAAACTAATATGCATATGAAAAGATGTTCAACATCCTTAGCCACTGGATAAAAATTAAACCATGATGATATACCAGTTCACACCTACTAAAATGGCTATAATTTAAAAAAGAAAAATGTTGGTGAGGATGTGGAGAAATTGCATCCTTATACACAGATGACGGAAATGTAAAATGGTGCAACTACTTTGAAAAAGTTTGGCAGTTCCTCTAGAGATTAAATGTAGAATTACCATATGACCTAGATTTTCTACTTATAGGTATATTCCCAAGAGAAATGAGAGTATGTATCTACACAAAAACTTGTATGTGAAGGTTCATAGTAGTATTATTTATAATACTCAAAAAGTGGAAACCATGTGATATGGATATATACTACAACATGGATGAACTTTAAGAACATGCTAAGTGAAAGAAGCCAGACACAAAAGACCACATAGTGTATGATTCCATTTATATTAAATAGACAAGTATATAGAGACAAATATTAGTGATTGCCAGAGGCTGAGGATAAGGGGAAATGAGGAATGTCTGCTAATGGGCACAGTGTTTCTTTTGGGGGTGATGAAAGTATTCTGGAATTAGATAGTGATGATGATTGTGCAACTCTATGAATATACTGAAACCTTGGGATTATAGATTTTAAAAGGATAGTTTTTATGGTATGTGAATTATATACCTATAAAACAAAAGATTCAAAGCTATGTGTGCCAGCTGAAAAAAAATTCAATTGTATTTCTATACAATGATAAATCAGAAAATGGAAAATATTATTCTATTCAATATATCAACAAAAAGAATTAAATACTTTTGGAATAAGTTTAATAAAAGAAATACAAGACTATTATACTGAAAATTTAAAAAATTTATTGAGAACAAAGAAGATCTAAATCAATGGAAAGACATTCCATATTCATAGATTGGAAGGTTCAATATGTTTAAGGTGAAAATTTTCTACTACTTGAGCATAGATTCAGTGTAATCCCTGTCAGAATTTTTGGTGCCTTTTTGTATAAGTTGACAAGCAGATTCTAAAATTTATAGGAAATGCAAAACATCTACAATAGCCAAAACCGTTTTGAAAATTGGAGGACTTTCACTTTTCAATTTCAGAACTTACTATAAATATAGTTATCAGGACAGTGTGGCACTGACATAAGGGTAAACATATAGATGAATGGAGCACAATTGAGACTCCAGAAATAAATGTGTATATTCATAGCCAATTGGTTTTTGAGAAATATGCTGAGGACATTCATCGGGGAAAGTATTATCTTTTCAACAAATGAATTTGGGACAATTGGATACCTACATGCAAAGACATGAACTTATACTCTCATTTCACACCATACATAAAAATAATAGTCTTAAATGTAAGCTAAAACAATAAAACTTTTAGAATAAAACATAGTAGGAAATCTTTGAGACCTTGGGTTAGGCAAGGAGTTCTTAGCTATTTCTTTGCACAGCCTATAAAAGAAATAAATTAATACATTGAACATCAAAATCCAAAACTTTTGCATTTCAAAAGTCACCATTAAGAAAATGAAAAAATTGGGACACCTAGTTGGTTCAGTCAGTTAAGCAAGCAACCAGCTCTTGATTTTGGCTCAGATCATGATCTGATGGCTGTGGGAGTGAGCCCACATCCGGTTCTGCACTGAATGTGGAGCCTGCTTAGGATTCTCTCTCTCCTTTTCTCTCTCTGCCTCCCAACCCCCGCTCATGCCCTCTCTCAAAATAAATAATAAATAAACTTAAAAAAAAAAAGAAAATGAAAAAATAATAGACTGAGGAAACACATATCTGATAAAGGTCTTGTACCTTCCAAGAACCCTTAAAACTCAATAATAATACAAACAGCTCAATAAAAAAAAATGAGTTAAAGATATGAAAGACATTTTACAAAAAAATATATAGAAATGGCTATTGAACATGTGAAAAGATGCTCAATAGCATTAGTTATTAGGGAAATGGAAATTAAAACCACAATGAGACACTATTTCACACCCACTACACTGGCTATAATAACTAAGAAAACAAATGTTTGTGAGGATGTAGAGAAATGGGAACACTTATACATTGCTGGTGGGAATGTAAAATTTTGTAGCCACTTTTGAAAATAGTTTGAAAGTTTTTCAAAAAGTTAAAACTACCAGATAAACCAGCAGATCAGCTCCTGGGTATCTATTGAAGAGAAATGAAAACATAAGCCCACACCAAAACTTGCATGTGAATGTTCATAATAGCATTATTTATAATAGCAGAGAACTGGGAACAACTCAATTGTCCATTCACTATATTATATCCATGTAATTGAATATTATTCAGTAATAAAAATAACGTACTACTTACACAGTCTACATTATAGATAAACTTCAGAAAGAATGCAAAGTGAAGGGAACACATATTGTGTGATTGTGAACACATATTGTATGATCCTATTTATAGGATATGTCTAGGGAAAGCAAATTCATAGAGATGGAAAGTAGATTAGTGATTACCTGTGTCTAGGAGTAGGAATCTGGGTTTAGTATAAATGGGTTTGAGGGATCTTATTGGGGGGATCCAGTTGTTCTAAAAATTATTAATGGTGAAGATTGCACCACTCAGTAAATTTGCCAAAAATCACTTAAATTGTTCACTAGAAAAGGGTGACTTTTGTGATATATATATATATATATATATATATATAGTCTTTTTTTTTTTTTTAATAATCACATGGTAATGTGCCAAAACACAGTAAGGGGATGAGGACAGAACAATTAGAAATGAAAGGGATCTTGGGTTTTGCTGCCAATTTAAAACGATCACAACAATGAGGTGAAACCAAAATGATTTAAAATAATTTCTCTTGGTGCTTTCATTTCTGTCTTTGGTAGTCAGATTCAATGGTGACCATGGAACCTCTGTCATTTAGGAACCACACATATGCACACAGTCTGATGCTGTCTGAAGATCTTGAAAAATGAAAGTCACAGCAAAACAAACAAACAAACAAACAAAAACTACCAAAATACTCCAAAAGTTCCACTAGGTGCTACCATTTTCTAAGTCTTTTTAGGTCTTCATTTTGTCAATTACTTTATAATTCATATAGTTTCATGTAGTTGTTGTCTCCTCTAAATTTTCTCTAAAGTTACTTTCCAGGACCCAGATACTGTTTGACAGTGAAGATTTGTGTTTTCTCTGAATTTCTGAATTGAAATATTTTAATCTAAAGTAGCTTATGGAGATAATCATTTTAAAAACAAAGCATTGTACTTCTGGAGAGAATAGTAATTTGTATGGTTTATTAAATAATTTATAATACTTAATATTCCTATTTAGTTCCTCTGAGATATAGTTGGTCTTATTTACTCATTCATGGACCTACACATTGATTCAGCAAATATCTATTAAGTACTTATTCTTACCTAGTGCTAGACTAGTTGCTGGGATTATACCAGTTAACTCCACATGAGGAAAGAAAAAAATAAAGAAACAGTAATTTCACAAGATAGGATATCATACAAGAAAGAGTGGTCAACGAACTTGATGTAGACTGTTCTATAGTTTGTCTCCTCTGGGGAGGTAGTAGGTGAGCTAAGATCTGAATGATAAAAACAAACACCCAATCACATGAGGATTTGAGAAAAGAGCATTTTAGGTCACAAGACTATAAAAGACCTCTAAGGGTAATTGTGCCTGGACTGTTTCTGAGAATATAGAAACCAATGTAGTTGGAATGTGATGATGCAGGAGTCGTATTTCGTAGGTCATAATAAATAGTATGCATTTTGGTCTAATTGCAACAGAAAGGCACTGTAAAGTTTTTTTTAATTTTTTTTTCAACGTTTATTTATTTTTGGGACAGAGAGAGACAGAGCATGAACAGGGGAGGGGCAGAGAGAGAGGGAGACACAGAATTGGAAACAGGCTCCAGGCTCCGAGCCATCAGCCCAGAGCCCGACGCGGGGCTCGAACTCACGGACCGCGAGATCGTGACCTGGCTGAAGTTGGACGCTTAACCGACTGCGCCACCCAGGCGCCCCGGCACTGTAAAGTTTTTAAGCATGGCAGTAACATAATCTCATTTATATTTCAGATAGGTCAGTTAGGCTGCTCAATGGAAACTGGAATGGAGAGGGAGATTGAATGCAAAGTTAAAGCAAAAAGACGAAAGCCTTTTGCAACAGTCAGGAAAAGAGATGGTAGTATCTTGGACCATGATAATAGCAATAAAGATGGAAAAAGATGAGTAGATTTGATATTTTTCTTTAAAAGTTAGAGTTAATTATACTTCTTAATGGGTTAAAGGGATGAGGAGATAATATAAATCAAAGAGGACTTTTAAGTATTTGATGCCAAGAACTGGGAGGATGGTGGTTTCATTTACTAAGATGGGGAAGATTGGAGGAGAAACAAATTTGGTAAGGAAAATACAAGTTTTTCCTATTTTGAAAAGGTTGAATTTGTGATCCTATTCATCAGCCTAGTAGAATATCAAGTAGGCAGTTATATATTTAATCTGGAGCTCAAAAGACAGATCATGTGATTGGACACATGTATCTGGGGGTTACTGCATAGAGATGTCATTTAAATCTGTAATTTCTTTTTTTTAAGGGTTATTAATTTATTTGGGGGAGGGAGAGGCAAAGAGAGAGGGAGAGAGAGAGAGAGAGAGAGAGAGAGAGAGAGAGAGAGAGAATCCCAAGCAGACTCCATGCTGTCCGCACACAGCCTGACATAGGGCTTGATCTCACTAATGGTGAGATTGTGGATTGAGACGAAATCAAGAGTTGAATGCTAAACCACTTGAGCCACCCAGGCTCCCCAAAATGTCTCCATTTTTAGAGAGAAACTGACAATCCAGCTTTTGATGTGATATCTCACATTTTAAATATATTGGCTGGGGAGCGTGGGTTCAAGACAGAAGTGTAGGAAGATCCTGAGCTCACCTGCTCCCCTGGATACACCACCCACAACTACGCTTGAGACAATTATCACCAAAGGAGGCCTGAAAACTGGATAAACAGAGTCTACACAAGGGACAGCACCAAGATGAGCAGGAGAGGCAGAGACATGGTCTCACTAAGGGAAAAAACCACACCCCAGGTATGGTGCTCTGTGGTCTGGAGGGATATCAAAAGGACACACTTTTCCCTGAGTTAGATTTGAGCTCCATATCAGGCACTCCAACCCTTAGATCCTGCACAAGAGAAATAAACTCCTAAAACATCTGGCTTTGAGAAGCAACAGAGAGGGGCGCCTGGGTGGCTCAGTTAGTTAAACATCTGATTGTTGGTTTTGGCTCAGGTCATGATCTCACAGTTCATGAGATAGAGCCCTACTTTGGTCTCTGCACTGACAGTATGGAGGCTGCATGGGATATTCTCTCTCTCTCACTCTCCAAGTAAATAAATAAACTTAAAAAAAAAAAAGAAAAGCAACAGAGAGTATGTCCAGGAAAACTATAGAACTATACAGATAAGAAAACCCACTCTTAAAGGTGCAGTATACAGACTCACTCAACTTAGAAACCAGCACAAAAACACCAGATTAAAAAAACCAAAGACCAGTGGTAAAGGAAACCTACTTATTAATCTTGGCATGCCAACAGGCTGGCAGCTGGGCCTCTGGGAGCTGAGACACTAGTGGCAGCCACATTTGCCAGCTCATTCTGCTGTGCTGATCCCAGTGCTGTTGAACACCATTTTGCAATCTACCCTCTAGACTACTATGTCAGGGAATGTGCCCCACTGAGAACCTGCCCAACCATATGTCTTGTCAGGTCTTGCAGCTGACAGAACAGTAACCCTGCCCACCAGCACATCCGTGGCAGTCATGGCCAAGACTCACAGCAGCCTCAGTGAAAGCCAGCCCTACACACCAACATGCCCACAGCAGTTACAGCTCTGCCACAACAGGAGGTGAACACAGCCCACACAGGGAACAGCCCTGAAGTACCTGACTCTGATAGCCAGTAGTGGTTGTGTTTCTGGGCCCCACAGGACATCACCTACATAAGATCACTCCTTCAACACTGGGAAAACTAAAAAACATAAAAGACTGGGAAAACTACCTAAAACAGAAACAAGCACAGAAAGTAGGCAAAATGAGACTGAGGAATATGTTCCAAATGAGAGAACAAGACAAAATCTCAGAAAAAGAACTAAATTAAATAGAAGAGTAATCTACCCAATAATAAGTTAAAAGTAATGATCATAAATATGCTTACCAAACTTGGGAGAATGGATGAACACAGAACTATAACAGAGATAGAAAATATAAGAAAGTATCAATCAGAACTGAAGAATAAAAAACAGAAATGAAATATACAGTACAGGGAATAAATAGCAGATTTATTTTTCAGTGAACTGGAAAACAGGCTAGTGGAAAGCACCCAAACTGAACTGCAAAAAGAAACAACGAGATAGTTTAAGCGACCTCTGGGACAACATCGGTCACACTAATAGGGGTCCTGGAAGGACAAGAGAGAGACAAAGGGGCAGGAGGAAACTTATTTGAAGAAATAATAGCTAAAAACTTCCCTAATCTGGAAACAGATATCCAGTCCCAGAATTAACACAGTCTCAAACAAGAACTCATAGAGATACATACCAAGACACATTACAATGAAAATGTCAAAAATTAAAGATAAAGAATCTTCAAAACAGCAAGAGAAAAGCAACCAGAGAAAATTTACCTGTGAGGGAACCACTGTGAAACTGTCAGCTGATTTTTCAGGAGAAACTTTGCAGGCCAAAAGGGAGTGGCATGGTATATTCAAAGTGCTGAAAAGAAAAAAACTTACAGTCAAGGATAGTCTACCCAGCAAGGTTATCATTCAGAATTGAAGGGGAGATAAAGATTTCCATGTGATGTTGGGAAAACTGGGAAGCTACATGCAAAAGAATGAAACTGGACCATTTTTTTTTTTACCATATACAAAAATAAACTCAAAATGGATTGAAGACTTAACTATAAAACCTAAAATCATAAAACTCCTACAAGAAAACATAGGCAGTAGTTCTTTGAGATGGGTCTTAGTGACATTATTTTGGATCTGTGACCAAAGACAACAAAAGCAAATATAAACAGAGTTACATCAAACTAAAAATGCTTTTGTATATCGAAGAAAACCATCAATAAAATGAAAAGGCAACTTAGTGAATGCGGGAAGATATCCAAAAACGATCTATCTGATAGGGGTTAACATCCAAAATATATAAAGGACTCTTAAAACTCAATTTAAAGATATCTGATTTAAAAATGGGCAGAAGAATTAAATAGGCATTCTTCACAGAAGACATAGAGGGCCAAAAGACACATGAAAAGGGGCTCAACACAGTTAGCCATCAGGGAAATGCAAATTAAAACCACCATGAGTTATCACTTAACAACTATCAGAATGGCTAGTTTGCAAAAGAGAAGAAAGAACAAGTGTTGATGAAGATGTAGAGGAAAGGGAACCCTCGTGCACTGTTGGTGGGAATATAAGTTGGAGCAGCCACTATGTAAATCAGTATGGAATTTCCTCAGAAAATTAAAAATAAAACTAACATATGACCCAGCAATTCCACTTGTAGGTATTTATCCAGTGAAAGTGAAAACACCAGTCCAAAAAAATATACACATCCCTATGTTTATTGCAGCATTATTTCCAATAGCCATGAAATGGAAGCAACTTAAATGTCCATTGATAGATGAATGGATAAAGAATATACGGTGTGTGTTTGTGTGTTTGTGTGTATGTGTGATGACTGCCAGAGGGGATGGGATGAGGGAGGTGGACAAAATAGGTGAATGAGATTAAGAGGTGCCATCTTCCAGCTATAGTATAAATAAGATGTGGGGATGTACTATACAGCCTAGGGAATATAGTCAATAATATTGTAACAACTTTCTATGGTGACAGATGGTAACTAGATTTGTGATGACTATTTTGTAATATATATAAATATCAAATCAGTATGTTATACACCTGAAGCTAATATAATATTTTGTCAATTATTTTTCAAAAAATGTTGACAAGTTATTCGGAATTTAAATAACATAATGTTGGTGAAACCAAAGTGTTATGAATTTTGCCATAAAGATCATAGCATGGAAAGCTCATGGAAAGGGCTGTCAAAGACTTGAGTTCTTGTCTTACTTTAACCTAACCAGGTACTTTAACTTTCCTGGCCTTAATTTTTCAATTATTGAAAGTACACTTCTATGACCCAGTGTCAAGCATGATAATTAGAACTTTATGAAATACTAGCAGTGATCAAGTCCTGTGGATCTTAAGTGTAAATGCTAGATTGAGCCATATGAAATTACTGATAATTGGCTATTTTGGATCTACAAAAACATTACTTTCATGTTATTCAACCTAATAGTTTTGTTTCACTTGAGTCTGAAAGCACGATGAACCAGGCATTGCTGTGCTGAGACATACTAGAATCTGAGGGAAAAAAAAAAAATGTTCTCCTACATTTTATAGCAAGGTCAGGAATTTGGCCAGAAAGCCATAGGCAGAGGGCAAGAGCATTAATGGAGACAGAATAATGATTTGCCTTTTATTCCGCTGTAGCAGCAGCTAATTTGATCTGACTGAGCTCTTGTTTCTAGGTTTCTCACTTAGGTATTCATTCTCTAGACAGGCCTCCAGGTGGCTCATACCCGAGTCCATTTAGGAATCTGATTTGGATCTGAATCATTTATATGTATGAAGATTATAAGCCTTCATTGTTTGTAAAATAATAATACTTTTAAATAAACAGCTCAAGTTCAAAGTGAAAAGAAATGAATGAGTATCAACATGTGTACATTCATTTTTACCCAGAACAGTTAACTGAGTTTAGCATTAACCAAGCATAAAATATAACTATGCACCAACTCTTTCAGTCTGAGTTCAACATCTCATGCATACCAGGTATAGGGTACTTAACAATAATTACCTTACTAGTTTAAAGTGGGCCTTACAGTAATCCACATTGTAATTTTTTTCCTACTCCCTGAGGCAATTAATTTTAAACTATAGCTAAGGCATGCAATCCAGATGTACATTGATTTCAGGCTGGGTTACTTGGTGTCAAATTCAGTTCTTTTGTTCATAAGGAACATGAGAGCTCTACACCATTTGTGTCAATATAGTACTTTGTGCTTAAACATGTAGTATACATATTGAGAAAATATGTAGAACCACCTCATATACATAAGGATATTTTAGTTCAAGAAATGCAATAGGTGTCCAATACAGAATGGTTGAATGAATAAATATGTGTTGAATATTTACCGTATGCTTGATACTGTGATATCAAAATATAAAAAATCCTGCTCTGCCAGGAAAGTATGAGAATATCGGAGTATGGGAATGACATTGATAGGGCAGCAGTGGCAGTGGCAGTCTTTCATTCTGTCAGTTTCGCAGAGTGGTCCTTTATGCTAGAATCTTAGTCTTAAGTTAGTCCTAGTCACTGTCCTCCTAGCAGTTCTGTGAGCTTCCACAAATCTCTTTAATGACCTGCTTCTCATTAATTGGCTAAAGTGGGTCTCCGTTGCTTGCAACTAAAAGCCTTGTGTGATTCAAGGGAGAACCCCCAGTGCAAGCGAGATGTCCTTTTTATAGATAGGATATTTTTGCAATGAACCTGAGGGGACTGACTATGCTTAAAGAGTAAAACAGGATGAAGATTTTTGAAATAACTGGACACAAAAGTTTTTTCCCTAAGGTTTTTAAAAAGGAAACAAGATCACTTCTACAGTGTACCTAGTGTGGCAATCAAGTCCACCAGGCTTGTTGTCAAGGGAAACATTTAGTGGGTGGGCAAGCCAACATTTATTCACTTCACTAGCATTATATGAAATTTGAAAAATAATGATCCTAATTCATCAACTACTTAAAATTTTTTTAACAGTTACTCATTTTTGAGAGACAGAGAGAGATAAAGCGTGCACGGGGGAGGGTCAGAGAGGGAGGGAGATGGAATCTGAAGCAGGCTCCAGGTTCTGAGTTGTCAGCAGAGTCCAACGTGGGGCTCAAACTCACGAACCAGGAGATCATGACCTGCGCGGAAGTCAGACGCTTAACTGACTGAGCCACCCAGGTGCCCCAGCTATTTCATCAACTACTTTTAAATTAAGTTCACCTATTTGCTATGATACTGAAGTTCATAACACCTTAGGCAGATTTAGAGAGATTTCAGTGAAATGGTTTAAGATAAAAAATCTCCATGAACTGATTACAACAGGAGTTTATTTGTAAAATTCATTTGCATGGCATAATTCATTCCTCAACTTTGCCAGATAAATTTGCTGTTGCTGTAGTTGCTAGATATCTGATTCATTCATTTTGGTATAAACTCAGTAGTAAAATTTTGCTTATAACCATATATAAACTTTCCATGGATAATCAGTTTATCTAATGGAGAAGAAACTGATACTGACTTCATTGAAACAGTTTACTTTTTTTACATGTAAAGAAAAAAATGAACATTTGTCAACACAAAATTATTTGTAAAGGTATAATTTATTTAAACAATAATTTCTTTATAGTATTGTCCTATAGGTATGGTTTCAAAATGTTTATGTTTTGGGGAGTGTGGGTGGCTCAGTTGGTTAAGTGTCAGACTCTTAATTTTGGCTCAGGTCATGATCTCACGGTTTGTGAGTTTGAGCCCCACACTGACAGTGTGGAACCTGCTTGGGACTTTCTCTCCTCTCTCTGCCCCTTTTGCTCTCTCTCAGAATAAATAAATAAGCTTAAAAAATGTTTATGCTTTAAAGCATCCGCTAAAAATGTTAATGTCCAAAGTGAATCTTCAGAGATGTCAAAATTCCATTATCTCTTTGTTAATAAATATTCAGCATTGATAGGATATCAGATCTGGCTGACTGCTTGTCAAGAATGTTGTAGAAAAAAATGTAATCATTGGATGATAGGACCATTGAATTAAACACATGACTTAGAGATTCCTTCAAATCTTGAAATTCTATGAGCATCTATGATATACAGTAAGAAGTAACAAATTAAGACTCATAGTTTAACAAATTCTTTTCATATCTGTGTAATTTTAATTCCATCTCAGATTTTAAAAGCTGGATAAAATTTTAGTAATATAGCTATTCTTTATAGAAATTGCCTTTATTAAAATGATAGAATTAAATGAATTGAGACTTCCAGAAAATTATCTAGTCCAAGTTCCTAGTTAAATATAAAACGTTGTAATTTTAAACAAAAACAGTATTTTCAACACTCACCTTTAAATTTTTGGTTTTATTTAAATTCTTTTATGTATAATTTATATCATATGTAATATTTAATAGTGTGTATACATTATATATAAATGTTTTATGCATATATAGATATAATGTATATTTGTCATATGTACACACATTATATAAATAATGTGTATATATTTATCTATACTATTACATATAGTATATATATTATATGTATATACACAGATATATATATGTATGTACATACATATATATATTTGTATATATTATATATATAAATGTTCTATCTCCAAAACATCTCTTAAATCCATTTCTCCCCAGCTTTTCTGTAACATTTCCTAATTCAAGTAACTATCATGTTGTACCTGGGCTGCTGCCATAGCCTTCTACTGCTCTCCCTGCTTCCACTTTTGCCCCCACTCCAGGCAGCCAGAATGAACTTTTGAAACTGTCAATCATATATATAATTCTTCTCCTTAAAATCCTTCTGTGGCTTCCCTCTGCCCTTAGTATATAATCCTAGTTCCATAAAATGTCCAACAAAGCCCTCCAAGCTGTCACATGTGCCTACATCTTCAATTTCATCTCTATCCTTAGTCTCTTTTATTCTCTCAGCATTTTTTCTGTTTACAGGAATATAGAATTATAATTTACATGCCACACAATTAACCCTCCTAAGTTGTAAATTCAATAGATTTTAATATAGCCAGAGAATTGTACAACCTTCATGACAATCAATTTTAGAACATTTTCGTCACTCCAGAAGAAAACCCAGTACCCCATAGCGGTCATCCTCAATTTACCGCCAACACTCTTAGCCCTAGGCAATACTAATCAACTTTCTATCTCTCAAGTTTTGCCTATTGTGGATATTTTATTTAAGTGACATCAAACAATGATTTTTATGACTGACTTCTTTTACTTCGGATGTTTTCAAGGTGCATCCATGTTGTAGTGTGTATCAGTACTACATTTTTTTTTATTATAGGATAATGCTCCATTGTGTAGATGTATCACATGTTATGTATTCATTCATCAGTTGATGGATATTTGAGTTGTCTCCATTTTTTGTCTATTGTGAATAGTGCTGCTATGAACATTCATGTACAAGTTTTAAGTGGACATATGTTTTTATTTACCTTCGATGTATACCTAGGAGTAGAATTGCTGGGTCATATAGTAACTCCATGGTTGCAGTAGTCCTCCCTTTCCATGCGACATGGATATGTTCCAAGACTTCTAGCGAATGCCTGAAACCACAGATAATGGTGAACTTTATATGTAGTATGTTTTTTCCTTTACATATGTATCTGTGATAAAGCATAATTTATAAATTAGGCACAGTAAGGGATTAACACTAACTAATAATAAAATAGAACAAATATAACAACATACTGTAATAAAAGCTGCCTGACTGGTCACTCTCTCAGAATATCTTGTACTGTTCTCACCTTTCTTCTTGCGATGATGAGAGATGATAAATGCCTATGTGGTAAGATGAAGTGAGGTGAATGACATAAGCATTGTGATGTAACATTAGGCTACTGTTGACCTTCTGATGCTTTGTCAGGAGGGTCATCTGTTTCTGGACTGCAGCTGACCATAGATAAGTGAAACTGTGGGAAGCAAAACTGTGAACAAGTGGGGGGACTACTGTAATCTTGAGGAACTGCCAGATTGTTTTCCAAAGCAACTGTGCCATTTTATATTCCTACCAGCTGTGGATGAGGGTTCCAGTTTCTCCACATTCTTGCCAATACTTGTTACCATTTGTCCTTTTTAGTATGGCCATCCTTTTTTTAATTTTTTACGTTTATTTATTTTTGAGACAGAGAGAGACACAGCATGAGCAGGGGAGGGGCAGAGAGAGAGGGAGACACAGAATCCGAAACAGGCTCCAGGCTCTGAGCTGTCAGCACAGAGTAGTATGGCCATCCTAATGGGAAATGTTATCTGCTTACTGGCCCTTTTTATCTCTTCTTAGGAGAAATATCATTTCAGAACTTCTGCCCATTTAAAAAATTTGGGTTGTATTTTTCCTTAATGAATGGTGAGAGTTATTTATATATTCTAGATAGAAGTTTCTTATCAGATGAATGATTTACAAACATTTTTCCCCTTTCAATGGATTGTATTTTTCCTTTCTTGATAATGTCCTTTGAATAACAAATGTTCATAATTTTGATGAAAACCAATTTTTTTCTTTTGTGGCTTGTGCCTTTGGTCTCATATCTAAGAAACCATTGCTCAACCCAAGATCATGAACATTTAAACCTATGTTTTCTTCTAAGAGTTTCGTTTTTAAGCTCTTACAATTAGGTCTTTGATCCATATTTAGTTAATATTTGTATATAGTATGAGGAAGGGACCCAACTTCGCTCTTTTGCATGTGGTAATCCAGTTATCCCAGCACCATTGTTGAAAAGGCTATTCTTTCCCTATTTGGTGGTCTTGGCACCATAGTCAAAAATCATAGATATATGGTTTATTGCTGGGCTCTCAAATCTATTCTATTAATCTATAAGTCTATTTTTATATCAGTACCACACTCTGGATTACTGTAGCTTTGTAGTAAGTTTTGAAATTGAGAAGGTATGCATCATCCTACTTTGTTCTTTTTTTAAAGATTGTTTTGGATATTCTAATTTTCTTGCATTTCCCTATAAATTATAAGATCAACTTGTCAATTTCTGCAAAAAAGTCATCTAAGATTTTAATAGCAATTGTCTTGAATTTGTTCATCACCCTGGGGTCTATTTCCATTTTATTTTATTAAAAAAAATTTTTTTTTAAGTTTATTTTTGAGACAGAGAGAGATAGAGCACAAGTGGGGAGAGACAGAGAGAGAGGGAGACACAGAATCTGAGGAAGGCTCCAGGCTCTGAGCTGTCAGCACAGAGCCAGATGCAGGGCTCAAACTCATGGACCTCAAAATCATGACCTGAACTGAAGTTGGACGCTCAACCGACTGAGCCACCCACGTGCCCCTATTTCCATTTTAATAATACTACATCTTCAATAATATATTCTAATATGGGATGTCTTTTCATTTATTTAGATCTTCTTTAATTACTTTTGATGATATTTTGTAGATTTTAGTGTATAAGTTTTAGACTTGTTTGGTAAATTTATTCCTAAATATTTTCTTTTGATGCTTTGTAAATGAATGTTTTGTTAATTTTATTAATTAATTTTCAAATTGTTCATTGCAAGTGGGTAGAAAGAAACTGGTTTTTGTATGTTGATCTTATATCTTGCAACTTTCCTGTATCCATTTATTAGCTCTAAGTCTTTTTGTGGACACCTTATGATTTTCTATGTACATGATCATGTCATCTGCAAACAGAGATGGTTTTATTTATTTCTTTTCAATCTGGATGTCTTTTATCCTTTTTCTTGCCTAAGAACATGTGTTGGATAAAAGTGGTGAGAGCTGACATTCCTGTCTTCCTCCTGATCATGCAGGGAAAATTTTTCAGTGTTTCACCATTAAGTGTTATGTTAGATGTGGATATTTATCTATAGTTTTTTTTTGCACCAACACACAGAGTGTTTAGAACTTGACAAACTTTCCTGCCTCAAGGCCTTTGCCATCCTGGTTTTTTCATGTTTGGCTTCTTCTCATCCTTCAATTTTCAAAACAGGCTTTCCCCAGCTAAGATGAACTACCTCCTCAAGTTATTTTTCTTTAGAAGGGCATCCTGTTTCCTTTATAGCACCTACTCCAGTCTGTAGTTATTTTTATATTTATTTGCTTTTAATTCTCTGGCTCTTTATCTATATTCCATGAAGATAGGGACAGTTTCCATCTTGCTTGCTGTTGTGTGTCTGGTGCCCAGAACAATAAGTACTCCCTACATTTTGTTGAATGAATGAGTGAATAAATAAGCATTCACAATATACCCATGTGTCTTTGAAGTCATGTGATAGATTTGAACAAACATGGGTGTACCTCTTAAAGACTATCTCCCACTTAAGAGTAGCCACTTCAGAAACTACTGAGTTGTTTCATGATGATACCATTTTTCAAAAATGTTTCTAGAATTCTTTTGTTTCTTAAATTCCACATATGAGTGAAATTTTGTGGAATTAGCTTCACAGCCTCTGACATTTTCTTTGTATCATATCACTTTTTAATAAAAAAATGTGAATTGTATAAACTGAAATCTGTATCTGCACTATTAGGCATGTAAATGCATGATGATATGACAAGGCAATGGATTTGTCATCATTAGCATGTAAGAGAACAGTCATGTTTCTTTTACACTAACATGTTTGGAAACTCATTTTATGGTTCTGGAGTTAATACACTTAGGTATGTCAAAAAAAGAAAGCCTGCAGGTAGCTCTTGTCTGAGATTCACATCATAGATTGTTTTTCACACCTGGGTGGCTTGGTTGGTTAAGCCTCCAACTCTTGACTTGAACTCAGGTCATGATCTCACAGTTCGTGAGTTCGAGCCCTGTGTCGGGCTCTGTGCTGACAGTGCAGAGCCTGCATGGGATTCTCTCTCTCCCTCTCTCTCAGCCCCTCTCCTTCTCATGCTCTCTCTCTCTCTCTCAAAACAAACAAACAAATAAACAAAAAGAAAGCCTGCAGGTAGCTCTTTTCTGAGTTTCACATCATAGATTGCTTTTCACTCAGTCTGTAAATATGCCAAATGGGCTTTTAAGTGAGATCTCTGATCCTATCCTGACTCTGATACTATGTCTCTAGGACCCTGATAAGTTATTTAACATATCCGAGCTGTAGATTCTCTCCTGTAAAATCATTCAATTTACTGGACTTCTAGGAGTTAGGTGAGATAATGATATTGCAAATGCTCACCCTAGTGCTAGGTATATAGTAGGCTCTTAATAAATGACAGCTGCTATAATTAGTATAATCACTTATTTAGCTCAGCCCCCCATCTTACCACTAAGGAAATTCACTCAGTTTTCTGCCAAGAATAAGGTCAGATGTTAAAAAACTGACACTCAAAACTGACTTACTGGCTCAGTCCACTTCTTTCCAATTCAACATGCAGAACTAACAAGAAACAAGTGTTGGCAAGGATATGGAGAAACAAGAACATTTTTGCACTGTTGGTGGGAATGTGCAGCTACTGTGGAAAACAGTATAGAGTTAAATGTTTGAAATAGAACTACTCTCTGATTCAGTAATTGCACTACTGGGTATTTACCCAAAACCCACAAAAACACTAATTCAGAGGGATACATGCACCCCTCCCTATGCTTATTTGCAGCATTTTTTATAATAGCCAAATTATGGAAACCTCCCTCCCAGTGTCCATAGACAGATGAATGGATTAAGAAGATGTGGTATATATAGACAATGGAATATTATTTAGCCATAAAAAGAATGAAATCTTGCCATTGGTAACAAATGGAGCTAGAGGGTATAATGCTAGAGGGTATAATGCTAAGTGAAATAAGTCAGAGAAAGACAAATACCACATGGTTTCACTCATACATGGAATGTAAGAAACAAAAGAGGTGAGCTTAGGAAAAAACAAAAAAAGAGAGAGAGAAGTCAAAAAAGAGACTCTTAACTATTGAGAACAAACTGGATGGTTACCAGAAGGGAAGTGGGTGAGGGGATGGGTGAAATAGGTGATGGGGATGGGGAGTGCACTTGCAGTGAGCACTGGGTGATGTAAGGAATTTTGAATCACTATATTGTACCCCTGAAGCTAGCATAACACTATATGTTAACTCTACTGGAATTAAAATAAAATTAAAAAGACATGCAGAACTAGCCTCAGCTTGCAGAGCTTAACAGCTGGGGGAGCAAACTCATTTCATGGCTAGAAGACAGCCAGGAAAGAATGTGGCATGTATACTTTCCTAATGAAAAGTAAACAGAAGGACCTTTTTACTCCTTTGGCTGCAAATCAGAATCCTTTTGTGCAAATTGAATTCATTTTCTTATTGCTTCAGGATAAAATAGATTCCATTACCATTCTCCATCACTGTTTCCCTGTTTTCCTTGCTCTGAGTGTATCCCATCTCTTAGAATTAGAATGGGGGACTTTAGTTGATCACAATAGCCATTGGAAAGTCATAGGGAAAAGAAAGAAAAATAACCTTCACTGATGCAAAAGAAGAAGTAAAACAAATAACCACCAGGTAACAATAACATTTTACTTTGAAAATTTTCTGTAAGATTAGAATAGAAAGTCCTTGTGACCATATATATGTCTATATACAATATGTGTTGTATGTGTATGGCTCTTAATTTATTTCAGCTGGCCTTCAGGAAAAATCAAATTTGATAGGAAGGATTAGGTTGAAAACAATTTGAGGGAAATTTGAAGTTTTTAACATTTAAATACATTCTATTAGGTATTTTTTACAACTATTGATTATATCATTTCTTAATAGAATCTGGCCTGAGAGAAATGACTTTATAAAACAGAAAAGCAAGAAAGTTATGGTTTTTACTTCTTTCTTTATGATCATTCTGCAGTAGGCTGAGTTAAAGTTGTGCCACTTACGCTTTAAACAAAGATGAGGTAGTGAGGGTAGAAATCCAGCCCAGTCCCCCACCAGTTTCCCAAGTCTTCTATGGGGCACCTTTTCTTTATACAAGGGCTCCCTCTTTTCACTAGTCACATGCCCAAGGAACTGCATCTTTCCTTAAGAGATACCTCTAACTTGTCCGAAGATCCTGCAGAGACTAGAATAGCTCTGATAGAGGCATTATAGCCATACTAAAAAATGGCATGGTAGCATAATCTGAAATTAGCTTATAGGGAAAAATCTATTTTGTAAGAATGAG